AAGACAGTGCAAATTATTTCTGTGACAGTCTTTTGAAGTGTGTAAAGCTCCATTTTATCCCATACATAGTCAAAATATTGGGGGAGATGATTCAATGGACCATCCCCCCTTGTCAAATATTGGGGGGGATATATCCCCTCTACCCCACCCCCCCCCGGGATCTACGCCTATGTTACATTGGATGTGACTAACAGCCTATGAAATTCCTTTAAGCTGTTTTGCAATAAAGGATCCTTTCAGACAAATTGAGGAGGAATACCCAAGAAACGCTGCCATCCGCCGCCAAAAAACTAATGACATAATAAACCTACAACTTACATTTTTCAACTCCAACCTTTTCATACTCCGTCTCAGACCGTGTAATGTTCACCTCATACGTCGAGTCGACCAGGGTCCCATTCGCGTCATAGCGTGTCTCTGTAAATGACGCTGGTTCTGTTAAGTTGCTGATAACAGCAACTTCAGCTTTCTTGCACCAGACCTTCAACAGCGACGAATGGTCAGCGTCAACTTGACCTGTAGATATCTTGCTGATGACCTTGGTATCGACCTATGAACGTAAAAGTTGAGAATGTTAGTATAAGCTATTTGACTTGGTCTGGTCTACTATTATAACATATTGAATTTAAAGTTCGATCCATGTTGAAAGTATTGCCCTGATGTTTTATACAAGAACAGCAACCATCATAAATCCCATAATAGCATCATAAATACCATTAGTGTCACTTACGATGCTGGAAATTCAGGAAAGTTCAATCTTGTATAGAGCTTTACAAATGTTCTGTTTAAGTCTTCAGTTGACTGTGTGTCAGAAAAGGCCTTATTTTGATGAAATGCTTCACATTATGTAATTGTTAGTACACCACAAAACAGCCAATATACACGATCACCTGCACTGAATGTCCACCAACATACACTTGATTGACAGTGTTATCGACATATGGTATAAAACATCTACGTTTTACAATTACTAAGGTATGACACCGTACAAAATTACAAGGGTCGGAGGGCACACGAAACATGCAACACAGCACAGAAAACACCGTATGAATAAAACAGAAAAATAAGAATCCTTTGAAATTCGCCAAGTTACAATATAAGAAACTTTACACAACATCTTAGCTACAGCAATATTTTAGTTTTTATAAATGGGCCTCTACATTAGATACTGAGGGTCACTCAATTAAACATTGTTGAAATAAACTTAAATAAACAAATCTGCTGTCGTGTGGCAGCCTACCCAGAGTGGTCACAAGACTAGCAGACTAGTTAGGATTTACCAGTTCGCTGAAAAAAAGATGTAGTGATGACAGCGAAAGTCTGGCTAACAATTATTGAATAAAAAAACTACCTACTTTGAAAATACAAACTATTTTGGTTTTTTTTTTTATTAACACTATTATAATTATCATAATCATAAATATCATCAGTTAACACAATCATATAAAAACATTAGCTCGGCCTAGTGATAAATTAGATGGAAAAAAAAACACAACTTTAAAAGAAATTAAAAATCCAAACTGGATTATTAAATCATGTTACCTACGAACCTGCACGATCTTCTTCGTAAACGGTTTCGTTAAAACCTTCAGAAGTTCGATTTTAGCGTTCTCATGGGTATGGATGTTGAAGGATTTTACGATTAAGTTCGTTAAGCGGTAAAGATATCCAGTGATGACCTCTAGAGGGAGTAAGATCGATACAGCAAGCCAGTTGAACATGTCATGCACAGTGGCTCCGCCAAAGGCACGCCGGAATTCGTTTCGGTCACCCGATTGCGCAAGTGAGACAATTGTGTTAGTTACGGAAGTTCCGATATTAGCTCCCATGATGATAAAGATGGCTGGTTGTACCTGTAGCACTGAAATTAAAGTAAAGAATATGAACGTGTAATTGAGTGAATTATTTGAAACACATACACACTTCAAGATCCATCTCGTTAATAATGAACTTTTCGAGACGAAGTCAGTGTAACCCTATAGATGGATTCCATTGTCCGCGGCAGTCTTCAGTTCTCTACACTATCTCCAGTAGCCTCCTACGAACGGACCCAAATGAATTGCCAGTAACAATTACCTCCAATTCTTTAGAAATATCTTCACAAAAACCGCGATATACGTATAATTCGATATAATGGAGTCTTTAACAACATAATTAATAAATTATGTTCTATAAATTGAAAACCATTAACAAATATGATAAACATTATTTCAAATTCTAATTATCTAAAACAATGTTTCAATTGTATTTTTTAATGACAATATAATGATATCTGCTTAGTAACTTTTGTATGTAAATTAGATTTTGTACAGCTCACTGATTCTTTGTAACTCACGAGTTGACTAATTAGGAGCCGATGATTTGAATAATGAGTATTATTCTTATCATTTTTACAAAACTTTATTAAAAATCAGATAAGCCGTAGACTTCTATTCTTTGGCTAAACACATTTAAAATCTTGAGCATTTTGATCACAAGAAGTTGCTATTTTTCACTTGTAGGCCTACTTACATCCAGCAGCCACCATGGATACAGTTATTGATGTGGAGGTTGAGGAGCTCTGTACGAGTACAGTGACAAGAATTCCCAACATAAGTCCGCAGACTGGATTGTTGAGGAGCTCGTTGTGCGACAAAGCTTCGCCGGCAGCTTTCCCGCCCAGTAGTCTGAAGGCAGAACTCATGATATCCAATGAACAGATAAAGAAGTAGAGTAAAGTGACAATCATTATCGGCTTTAGAATCCACAGAATCACTCGCTTCACCTTGCCCTTCGTATCCAACTCTGAATATAAAATTTAAGACCACTTGTTCAGAATTGTATGCAGGGATATTTTGGCGAAATATTTTCATTCTAAAGGCCTGTCCAGACTATCAAATTATATTCGACAAAAACATGTAACATGCCTAATCATATGGTAATGATGACATCACATCATGACCATATTTATGCACATATATAGGAATACAACAGGTTTTTGTCAGAACATTATTTTGATAAGACAGCTTTAAAAAGTCTTTAAAAAACATAAACACAAAACAAACACCTAAAACAAGCAAAACAGCAATAATGCATTGGAAATTTGAAACAATTCAATTACATTCTCTCCAAAGGAAGACTTTATATAGTAAAGACCAACGGCCCTATAACATAAACAATGTGCCAAGTGAACGGGTCGTGTTTTAAACGCACAAATAATAAAATTTGATAATTATTTCACCGTACTGGAATTTTTAGACTTAAATAGCGTAGCAAAAAAGAACAGATTTGGAACATAGTTTGGAATAAAACGATTTTTTTTCTTGATTAATAAAAACAAAATGAAACGAATCCACGTCACCTCTATTGCACACTCTACTTACAGGTTCCAAGCGTGGTATATATTTTCCTTTTTGTACCTTGAGATCTAAAATAGCAAGTCTTGATAAGGATAATAGTCAATACTTAATAATGCAAATGATTCTTGTTGGTGGAGAGAATTTCTTCCCAGCTCCCTTCTAACTGCAAGGCCCTTTGTAATTGTTTTTGGAATTGGAAGAACATAGCTACAGAATTTTAGATGGGCCCTTTCTAGTATTTTACTCTCTTTCGTCCCCTCCCTCATATTACATCCATATAAATAGGACGTATCTTGGAATCAGATATTTTAGAAAGGTCTTTGATAGTAAGATGAACACATTTTTCAAGATTTTTTGAAGTCCAAACATCGCCTTATTTGCCTGAGATTAAGCTGTGCGTTGTTGGGCTTTCAGCCAATTGCCACTACTACTGCTATGAGAAACATAATTTTCCCCCTAAAATTTTACTTTGCCCCTCGTTTGCCATCCCCATCTGTGCATTTTAAGGCTTCAGTTATTCCAAATGATGATCTTCCACGTGCATTTAACTGCATATACATGGATTTTCGTAAATTATATAGATTTTCTGAGATACCAAACATTTTTAGTTTTAGTAAAAGTGTACCATGACATATCTGATCGAACGCTTACTGAAAATCTACAAACGCAACGTAAACCTCTCCCTTTTACGAAAAAGATATTTATTCACCAATTCGATTTTGAAAACATTATCTAGTGTCCTGTACCCTTTACGGAACCCACATTGTTCTTGATATAAAAAGCATACCCACTCGGTATTTGCCCAAAACTTGAGTCTGTTTAATACAATTTTTGAGAAAATTTTATTTATGACTATAGAGTATAGGAATACCGCAATAATTTAGGATGATTTCTGACACGCATCTTAATTAATATAGGAACAAACAGTCCTGGATCAAGGCTCATTCAAGCGGAAATAAACCAGTACGCTAGGATCAAATTGAATAATTTGATTAGGAGAATAGTTGATTTACAGAAGGGACAACATCCATACCAGTGGCTTTTCCATTTTTATGATTACGTTTCAATACCGTATCGACTTCATCATGTGAGATCGCGCTATCAAGATATTCATTCCATATATCATTCCAATTATTAGTTCAAATGGTATAATTCTAATTCGAATTGACTTTCAACCTCTTTAAGTTCATCACATTTAACCTCAAAAAGTTTATTGAAATATTGGAAGCAGTTGTTTGGGGTGATCTTCACTCCTTTAATTTTTGACCAGAAGCCTGTGTTATCATTTTGAAGGAGGGAACTTACTAAATCTCCTATTTTGCGATGTGTAAAATCCCTTTTCCCTTTTTCTTTTCTTTAATTTGCTTTTTATAATTACATTTTAAAAAATTGTAATCAGCCAAGGAATATAAGGAATGAATGTTTGAGTTTACGTATTTTTTTCTGTACAGTATTTTTCATACGTGTGCAAGCGTTGTCAAACCACAAATTTACACTTCACGTCTTATTGGCATTAACGGCCGACGCATGATTTCCAACATCCTTGAAAATTTTAACAATAATAGATACAGCATTTTTAATTTATGAAAAATTTAGGGCTTGTTAGAACTCTATTTTGAATGTATTGATATGTGAATTATTCCGCTTATTTATAAATAAGTTTAATTTCTCAAAAATCCTAAAAGTCACGGTATTAACTGTACAATGATAATATTATCAGAACCTGCATGGTATATGCATGAGTATTTTTGGCAAGGCTTTCCAACCAGAACGGAAAGAAAACGAAATTGGAAGATGGGCAGCTGACTCAGCACGCGTAGAAATATCTACGAATACTGAAGCTTTATAGAGAGCATAGACTACTACGCTTTTGCCCTGGCGACCTGCAAAAGTGAAAAAAAGGTTCTAGTTGGATTAATTCTTCCATTAATAAGTTTTAAACCAGTAGTGCAACAAAACTGTAAGAGATCACGACCAAATACATTTACAATCTTGTCATTGCTTGTTCTTTTCGGGAGCATGGTGCATCTTCATTATATACTTTACTATCCCAGTCAGCTGGGCATTCATTGACAGTATACAATCATTTTCGGTACCCTTCCTCGAACTAAAGCCACCAACCAAAATAAAGTTATAACGTGGATGCTCACTTGAGTATTTACAATATTAATTTTCAAGTAGGCCTATATCAAGCGTTTCTTCGTCTTTTGCACAAGGTGTGTCTAAAAGTGTCCTAACACAATGCCTAGAACCATATGGTTATCACTCTAGTTATCATCTAATGGATCACTTTTTAACCATAATAGGCCTATTTTCCGAATCACTTATCATTGCTGTGGCAGTAAACAATAACGAAATTCCACCCGCGGGACGACCCGCCACAACTCAATTTTTTAATGGAGTTTTCTGTCTGTTCGTGATGGTCATATAATGACATAATAATAATTTCCAAATTTATTGAAAATGTTTCTTTGAGCATTTATATAAAAGATTCAGATCAACACCTTTCGGTAACGGATACAATGGATAAAACTCTTACGTATTGCGTACATATACGTAAAATAAAACAAAACATTAACAAATAACTTGTAGGTTTATCAGTGGTGGCGGAAGCAGGGGGGGGGGGGCAAGGGAATTTGCCACCCCGTCGGACAGCTAGGCCTGGACCCTATGTCGTCAACTAGGTCGTCGGATCATAAAGAAAAATAATAATAATTTGCCTATTCAATAACGTTATTTTGGTTGCTACTCCCTAATATTGTGGTCTAAAAGCACAATTTTGACCATACTAAGCCATACAAACTCTCCCTGTGAGCCCTACTGGGAATATCGTATTCCGGGTCGTCGGACCGAGACTTTAATCGGCGATTGGTTCGGACCCCTTTTCAGCAAATTTTTGGCTTATTAGTGTAAATGGGCCTACGTTAGATTCAGGTTTACATTATTTTCAATAACGTAGGCCGCCATTTAAGTAAATACTAACTGTCATTGTTATCATTATTCGTTACAAATTTAAATTTGTTGCAAATGTTGATTCACACCTTGATGTGGTCAAGTATGGAGGGCAAACGGTGTCATAACCCCATGCATAATATGTTGGTCTTCTTTAATTATTCATAGCAACAGAATTGTTGATAGGATATTATTAGTTGACATTAGTTCTATGGTAAACCGTTGGTGATTTACAATGGAAAATCGGAAATGATCAACAGATATTTCACATGGCCTCCTGTAAGAAGCAGAGGAAAATTGGCAAAACTAAAGCCCTGTCCAGACTATAGATTTTTTGTGACAAAAACATGTGACAAAGCTAAATATGGTCATGACGACATAATAACATTGATAATCTGACCAGAGAATAATTGAGTGTTCAGCCAATAAATACAGTCGTTATTGAAGTTAGTTCTTGGATCTGAGCTGTAGAAAGATCCAGTTGTCGTACTGATACAATCTAAATACAATGTTTTTTTATATTCTATCGATTATATTTATTATAATTATTTTGTTAATGGAAATGTATAACCTTTCCCAATTTGGTCATAATAATATTTAGACTTAGAGTCAGTGGCGTATAACATTCTAACGCGCATTTTAATAAATGTTCTTTAATTAACACTAAGAATTACAAATTAAGAATCATGCGAAACGGGAAGATTACGAGAAACGTACTCAAAACAACATTTTCGGATTATTATAAGCAGGGGGGTTATTTCCTTGCAATTTTATATTGACTTCCAGTTAAACTAATTACAACTGATTTGTCTTGGATGTTTGACAAGTTCATAATATAATTACAAATACAGTCTATTTTAATAGTGTCTGACTCATTTATTCGTTCATACAATGCTTTATTTAATTCAAATATGTATACTAGCTAGAGATTTGGCAATGGTGTCTCGACGTAGTTATGTGGTGGCGTCAGAGTGAATACAATGTTTATGAGGCAGGATGAAAAGAGAAAACTCTGGGGAAAGTTAATTTGACGCAACGCGTCAGTCAAAGATCGTCCTCAAATGGACGAATGTTTAGGTGGTTCGTATGACTCCCCTTAGACACAAACACTGGTTGAATGATGAAGTACCAAGCTTGTAATTTAATTATACAGAAGTAAAAGTGTGAAATTAAATGTGTATGTGCATTTTCAATTCAAATGCTAAAAATAACAACAGACATTTAATGTTTGAAATAAAATATAATTGATAACAATTTGCTCAAATTTATTCTTGGTAAATGAATTACATGGAACTCCCTCATTGCACCTGAAGCGCCACCACTAGCATTGTCAATGCATGCTAGAATTATCGAATGGCACACTCTTGCTCATCAAAAGTTTGCATACAAGTTGTCAAACAGAACTACGTTCTGCCTACGACATACATATCCATATTCGGCAATTTTACTGTATTTGTTATGCTTACCTGACCACGGTATAGATGTATTTGCAATTTCTGCTACTGTCCAAGGGTCCACATAGGATTCCTCAGCCACAGCGGTGTCTGTCTCTTGCTCCAGCTTTTCACCGCCGTTAAGCTGTTCCATCGGGACGACAACTGATTTAGAGTGACCATTTTTCATAGGTGTTCCTCCATTTTTGACCTATGAAATATAAGGGACTCAATTAAATAGGGACATGTAATGTGAACTGAGAATTCCTTAGAGAGTAACTCTCTCTTATTCCATTGTGATTGAGAATAATAATAGCCTAACTGGAATCAAACACTTAATTTTGTAATCAATGGTAAATTTCGGTATATCAGAAACACATTAATGCTTAATACTAATACTAATATTAATTCTAATGCGGTAAAAATATTACTAAGATACCACACTTCTTAATTTTTCTGTTATCTTTCCATTATTTGGTAATGGAAACTTTTTGACAGGTTTTATAGATTTCACAGAAAAGTCTTCTTTAACTCTTCGATTGAGTCATAAAGGAAGCCAAATTTGTAGCTACAATATCCTCTGTATCCTCCATGGGTGAATGGATATAAGTAGTAACAAAGGCCTGCCTCTCACATTCTTGGCAAACTCTACAATTAATTAAGCAAATTAAACCAACAGGGACTAGTTTTTCTTCGTCACCGCCAACAGGAAACACATTTAAAGGCGATGCGTTTCTGCAAACGTTGGCATGAACTAGAATTTCATCTTTCTACTGCTCATAGTCGGCTATATCAATAAATCTAAGTAGCCGCTGTTTCCGCTGAGCTAAATATTTTAAAACCTATGTACAGTATATTGTTCCTGTTAACTGACAATACCTCAATCAATAATTCTGTTGCATTTTGCAAATAAATTGCAAAAATTGACTAGTCCCTTCCCTGTCATCACTATTCAACCATTGAGTGATACTCCAGCTGTTTTTCTTTTTTTATTAATTATACTATCAAGATCAAGATCATACTTATGTCTATGGTAATTATTTAAATTAAACGGAGTAGCTCTTCATTTCAGAAAACAAACGTGTGTGTGTGTGTTGGGGGGGGGGGGGGGGGTGTGTGTGTGTTGGTGTGTGTGTGTGTGTGTGTGTGTGTGTTCAAAATCTGGAAAACTGAACAGCCATTATGATAATTCTTCAAGATTTAATTCGAACTGAGCGCTCTTGCCATTGTTCCAACTTCGTCCAACTCTTTTTGCAACTTTAAGTCACAGCTTAAGACCATGCATTTGTTTTCCGGTGGCTTTTCACATGCATTGCGCCTTTGATCTTGTTTAAAATTGGCGTCATATAAATTCGAGATATTATTATTATTATTGTTGTTGTTGGTGGTTGGTTTTTGGGGGGGTGTGTGGGGGGGGGGGGATGGCGGGGTGCGTGCGTGTGTGTGTGAGTTTGATGAAATCTGAAAAAAACTCAAATAAAGTCTTAAATTGTTCATTTAAAAGATCAGTTATCAACGACAAATATAGTAAGAGACAAAACAATTGATATTATGCTAATTTACCGTACATAATCTTTAGTACCATCTAATTTAAGGGTCTATGCGAGAAACAATATTTATGGGTATTGTATTGTTAATAAACAAGGACAATATTTTCTCCTTTTTCATTTAGCATCTTACGTGACAAGATATTTCATCTCCTATTATAATCCTGTTAATGATTATATTCGTATTTGTGTATGTACATATTCCAACCATAACTATATTGTAATTATTATTTACCATTAATTAAAATAAATGTTAATGAATTGAATTAATCTTTATTTTAAAATGATAATATACAAAGTAACCAATTAAGAAAGGTCTATTAACTATTTTTTATGTTCAATGCTCTTAGTCCGACACAGACATTAACTCTATTTATCATTTTATAACCATCCGTAATTTTATAGCTAATAAAGCGATTACAAAATCAATTACCGGTAAAGCATAATGAAAATTATTGCTGACTCTGATCACTGTCTCTTATACACATCTAGATGTGTATAAGAGACAGGTCATCACCCTTAAGAGATTTAATGTAGTGATATTTTCTTTTTCTTGTGGAGTGGAATGTTTCTTTGTTTGTTTTTGGTGGGATGGGAGGGGGTGGGGATCGTGAGAAAAAGTCCTGTGGACCCAGGAATTGAACCTCAGACCCTGGAATTGGATGGGAAGCATCGTAAACACTAAGATACATAATCTGACCAATGTACAATAGGCTTGCGTTTACTGTACACTTTCAAACCGCTATTACCGAAGAGAGCTTAAAATCAGGTTTACAGTCCTTATAAAACACAGTATTATCTACGGCAACAAACAATTTAGCAAAATATCTTACCAGATTTTGTTCATCCTCCGATTTCGGTCGATGGACTGGCATCTTGAAATTACAAATTTAAAACCAAAGAAAGTGATGTAAAAAAAAGTAGAAAACGACAGATTGTGAAAATGGTACTCTGCCTGCAGAGGTGATGTCTATAGTCTATTATGCGTCCCTGCCAAATAAGCAATATCAGTCTCTAACAAAATTAAACTTAACGGAAGCATTTGTTAGAAGACTGTCACGTGACAACAACGACAATCTTCATACGTTTACACTCAAAAGTAAGTTCCAAGTAGAGGAAAATATATAAAATTTAAAGGTATTTTTACAAATCACTAGATATATTTGTAAGGATAGTGTTATTTAAAATATTTTTAGATTGCATTATATTTTACCAAAATTATATGAAAGAATTTAATAATATTTGATTAATTAATTAACAAAGTATCGTATCTAAGCACACATATATTTTTAACCCAGGAACACTGATTACTGGTATTATCCCTAAATAACATAACAATTACAAATATAATAATTGGTAAGAAATATTCTACATTAAACATGCTTAACAATTATATCCCAATTAACAGTATACTTCCTGTATGAATAAAGTGATCTTATTCATATTAATATACGGTAGATAATTATTAGTCTATAATGCGCTTTAGTCTCAATTTCGGCAGTCCTTGTCAGTCATGGATTTAGCCTTGGTCAGACTAGACCATCTACAATTCCTTTAAGTTATTCCTTTTTGGGCTTACTAATCAACTATTCCAAGTTCATGACTGATCGTCTGCGTTTGAGCGCGTATTATTCAATCTGACATGAGCAGTTTCCTCGCGCCGGAACTGGAGAAATTATAACTCTGAGTAAGCCATCTCTTGCTTTAAATCACATGTTTTGGATCACGTGTACAGTATTATCGTCTGATAAAATTTCTGGAGGGAACGATCATCTGAGCTCCTAAACACGTCCGTGTGTTCAAACACCATGCGATATATTGAAATTCTAAATCTGGGTACATCCATATGCATAAAGGCTATAGCCTTTCTGACCACAATGCTATTTTAGATCAAAGCATATTTGCTTAGATTTTTTTTTTAAATAGGGCCTACATTATGTACATACAGCTTTAATTTGGGGTGTATAATTTTTGAAATTAATGACATATTGAAGCATGAATCATCAAGAAGGAGGGGAAATCGTGATTCACGATCACGTGGCATTTATTTTTGGATTTGCTGTTTAACCATGGGACAATTGCAGCTCACGTGCTAAATTGATGCACTTTTTTTTGGTTGGCCAAATGATGTCAATTTGGCAATCACTTTCAGAAACCAATTTCACTTATTTAGGCCATTTTATCTTAGAAACCATCCACTAAATTTAAAAGAAATGGACGACGTAGAGACAGTGTCGATTTTGAATCACCAAATATTGCCTACGAAAGTTCCAGTTGGTCTTTCTGGTGTATTTGGAGTACACCAAGACAGATTCCCCTATTATTTTAGAAGAGTGAGTATTGCAATGGTGTTTTTTAAAACGTTTACATTGTCCATAGGTTATTACACACGGAACCAACGACTTAAACGTCTCATTCGAAAGACAGTGCTCTATATATTGATATATTGAAAGGTGCTTTTCCACCCCACCCCATAAAATATTAAAACTGATGATGATGGTGGTGGTGTCGATGTTTATGATGTTATGATGATAAGCATTTTTGAATGGGCCCCCCTGGTGACCTGCATCGGCTACTGCGGTGCCACTTCCATGAATCCATGCAAGGGTTATTAGAGGGGGGAGCCGGGTAATGAACTCCAGTTAAAATCCATAAGCTACCTGATTTCAACGGGGTTGTTTATGAAAAGATGTAGGAACTACCTCTCTTTCAAACGCGGCCTAATGACGATTATAAGGCAGGGGTGCCCAGGGGTGGATCTGGGTTCACATTGGTGTGGTGGGGGTCAAAATGTTTAAAAAAAACCCAAAAGTAAACTGGGATGGGGGGTATCCTCCCCCTGGAATTAAATGTTGATTCCTAGATTGCGAGAAATGAGCTTCCAGACTTCTGAGGTGTCTTTTAATGACTTTCAAGTTCTTCAAAATTCAAGGTTTTCCTCTCTTGAAAACGATTCCATGAATCAATGAACCCCAATGAGAAAGTGGGGTTCGGGTTTTCCCAGGGAAAATGTTGATTTCTAAATGGCGGGAAATGAGCTTTCCCGACTTCTGATGTGTCATTTAATGACTTTTATAAGTTCTTCAAAATTCAAGGTGTCCCCTCTTGAAAACTGTCAGGTAAATTTTTGTCATTCTTATACAGTAAGGACCATTATGTGTGTACTGGTATAAATACATACAAAAAAAAATGGGTAGTTGCGTACGTAGACCTATTCTTTTTTCCATGAATCGATGAACCCTCAAAAGAAAGGAGGTCGGGATCCTCGTCCTCGTAGTTTCTGAAAGTGCCGTTGGTCGAAACAGATCAAAGGGGCGTGTCAAAAGGGGTTGGGGTGGTGGTAGTCGCTACGGGCTCCCGTATTTTTTTGTCAAAATCATAAAAAAGTGGAATAAAAAAATGAAAATCATATTCAAGTTTAAGTCTGAGAGTGCAATTTCCGGTCACTTAGATGTGCCATAATCATAATTTTCTTGCCTCAGCCCCAACCAAAGTGGCGCTGAGGTGGTATTGACCCCATATCTATGGAAGTCCTTCCCTGGTTCCCCTCCCTTTATTTCAGAATTCTGGTCATGGATGACACCACGCAAATCAATCTAATAATGTTTCAAGCTCAAACTTATGTCACAATTAAAAAGTAAACCTATTACTCTAATTCCTTTTTGTTAGCACAATTTTTCAAATAAAAAAAAAACAACTTAAAAAGGTAATTTAAGTTCCATTTCCTGGCATCTGGTACAAAATACTGAACGATGGATGGTGAGTTGAAAAGTTTCGGACTCCCTTTCTGAGCACCCCCGTTTCTTAAATCCTGGATACGCCACTGTCCAGTTTATACAATAGGCTCATATAAACTGTGTAGAATCCAGTATTATTATTTAAGGCGAGACGAAAGAAAAAAAAATCACCCAGAAAATATAAATTAAAAAGAAAATACATTCATAGCAAAAAAAAATAAAATATGAAGTTAAAAAACTAACTCGATGTCAGTAAGACTCGAGCTATAGCAATGGGGATGCTGAGCTAAGGGTTCCTTCATTACGCTAAAGAACCCGCGTCACGTCTTGGGAAAGCCAAAAATCAGAACAAAAGAATGGCTTTTTCACTGTCGCGAACAAAATACAAAAATATAATATGATGAATAGTTTGTTTCAACAATTTAATAATAACGCGTGAGTTGGGCCTACAGATGGTATTTAATTTGTTTGTAAGAATTTACACGATTAATTTATATGTTGATTACTTGAACGTGTATCTTCATACCAAACTTTCATGTGATTTACTATTATTCAGTGCTAATGGGAAAATCCAAGGGTGTAAAGCTATAGTCTCTGGTTAATTATAAATGACCTATTAGATTTTAAATTGTGACCGATTGTAGTTTATCAACCTATAGATTGAATATTTATTGATTGATTGATTGATTAAAAGATTAATTTATTTGTTGATTACATCAAGGTGTATCTCCAGAACGTAGTAACTTTCATGTGATTTTCTATCATTCAGTGCGTATTATGCACTACCCTGAGAAAATGCTTGCCTCAATGGGAAAATCTAAGGGTGTATCTCTTGGCTTCACAGCTCAGTTGGTAAGAGCCCGAACGGTAATCCAAAAGTCTTGGGTCCGAATCCCGATGGGGACATAGGCCTACGTTTTTTCTCAAATATTTGTTATAATCAATATTTTTTATTCAATTTGATCTGTATGTGGTCTTGCTGTTTTTCTGTGTCCTCGCATGCATTTGTATTTCATTTCCCCAATTTAAATGTTTCTCCTTTTGCTTGTGTCTTCGTTCGTTAATATTTCAACTTTTTACATGTAATATCTTTTCTACCTTATAATTTTAATCAAAAGTATCCTTAGTGCGTTTTGATTGTATCGGTTTTATTGTTTGGTCTTTTTGGTGATATTTTTGAATTGTATTTAATTGTAAATTTAATGTAATTCAGCTGACTTACTGCCAATCGAATTCTGAATAAATAAATTGGAAATAAATTGAAATATTTTGAGTAAATTGTTCTTAAAAAACACCATGAATATGGTTAGTAATGAATTGATTGCTTTTTTATTAGTTGACTCTTAGAGACTCTTTGTGTTTTGTGATTTATAATTGAAAACCATTACCATTAACAATTGTTTGATTGACTGATTGATATATCGATTGATTATATAATGTTGGTAATTGTTTTGTATAAAAATTTTGTATAAAAATTTGTAAAAGTGCAAAATATTTAATCAAGGTTTTATCATTAAGTTTTATTGAAAAAAAAAACAAATTTATTGAATAATATCATAATGAAAATAATGTTAAATTCGATTACTGTATTTTAGTTTGCTTGATGTCAGTTATGTCTGTTGTTATCATTTTATGTGTTGACAATAAAAAAAAGAGAAATGATATAAAAGTTGGTGAAACTCCTACAAGAGAGAGAGGGAGGGAGGGATATGGGGGGGGGGGGAGAACGCACAATGCACATTTGTAATGCTTAAAATAGATCCACACTTTTTTAGTGCACATGTGTGGATTTCGATCGAATTCGCGAGAGATTGCAAATTTTCACTGAGCTAGGTAGTAGCCTCTTTCAGTTATTTTATATTACGCTACGGATAAATTATTTTCTAGTAATTTGGAGGCAAAAAGTAACCGTAAAATCTGGTTTGGAAATAAAAGCGGTTAGCTTTTAGTTTAGTAGGTATTCTGTTTACAATTTTACCAGCAAGAACATATAATCAACATTTAACATTAAAAAGTATTGATCGGCAAAATAGCCTATAAAACGGAGAGAGAGGGAGTGAGAGAGAGAAATTGTATGATCACGTCAGTAATAACGTCTGCTCGAATAAATTGATTGGACTTTCCCAAGGAAGTCTTTAATTATTATTGGCGTATACACTTTGAGCTGGATCCCCACCAATTTAAAGATAAGTCACTCTTCAGTTTAACGCAGGCTATCGTGGTTTGTGGATAATCCAAGAATTCCACATATGACCTTCATCGTTATAAATTTGTCGCCCTCTCGGGTTCTTTACCGACATGAAATGTTATTTTGACACTCTTTGAATTCATTTGATGGTGATTCTGAAAGTTACCGTAAATGTTCGAATAAGCTCCGCTCTCGAATAAGCACAGTGGCGCTTATTCTAAATTACATATTATTTTGTGTGTAATGAAACACTTAAGAAACTGGTTTTTAAATACAATGTTTAAATGAATAAATAACACAAAATTTTTATAAACGATTATTTACGATGATTTATGGCCTATGATAGGCCTACTGAACGGGAATATGTGAGATATTTAGTATGGTAACTTGTGAACAGGCATGGATAGCGCCACGCTAAATAAGCGCCGCTCTCGAATTAAATGTAGGCCTATATAATAATATTGGTATGTAGTCTATGCAGAGATATTCTGGTACTCTTGATTGATTCGTTTAGAATTAATGTAGTCAAAAAATATTTGGTTGTGTTTCAGGTAAAAAGTCCGACGACAAGACATATTTAATGTTTATAAAACATGGATTCGAAAAATACATTGCCATGCTGAAGCATGTTGAACATATAAACATAGGCCTATTTGTTGATTCATATCCATTATCGTCAACATGAAAACAAAATAGCCAGCAATGAATACTGACGTTGCTTACATTATAATTGTCTGTCAATATTAAAACCTTTGTAAATATACATCTATCAAGTTTATGCAAATACCGTACTCGCGCAAATAAGCACCCGGGCGCTTAAAATATTTTTTGCACTTTCTAAGGGGCGCTTATTCAAACGGGGCGCTTATTTATTTATATGAAAACAGAGTGGAAATTGTGGGGGCGCAATATGGAAATAGATGAAAATCAAGGGGTTCTTGTGGGAACTTATTAAATTCAAGAGGCACTTTTTGAATGAAAAAAGATTATATAAGAACGAATGGTGGTTAGACAGAAAAGATTTTCGTCCAGAGAACATAGCTCATGACAAGTGCTGTGAATATTTACATAACAGCAACATAGCAGATGCAATTAGTGGTGGGGGTAGTGGTTACCTTGTTGGCCATCGGCTGGAAAATATGTAAGAGGAAAGTTGGAAATATACTGTCTGTGTAGGGATCGGAGCTCTCATTTGTCCGAGAGAAATATCCTCATTTTGATATTGACCTAAGAAGAATGTGATTCCACTCTGCAGCTCAAATCATGCCAAAACCACAGTCCCAGAATTGATTGGATTATTGACTTGCTAAAAAAAAAATCTTATGATATTATTTAGGGGCGCTTATTCAAATTCGGGCGCTTATTCGCGCGAGTACGGTACGGTACGGTACTGTATTAACTTGTTGAATTTTAAACAAAAGTGGCTCCCTACCCTAATTGAATAAGTAAGAAATCTTATGTGCCTGTCAGATCCAATTCAATCTGTATACTGTAGTTGTTTTTAATTCGATTTTTGAAATCTAGTTGATATATTTGCATATTATATGGTATATAAATATGTTTTATATAAATTTACAAATAAAAAAAAAAAACCTCGTTGATGCAATAAAATCAAGAAACAGAAAATTAACAGAGAGTTATCATCAAGTGTTTTCACTCTAAATATCAGACACCCTACCCTCATCCTCCATCTCCTGACGGGCTTCAATCGACACTTTTCAGCGGCAGAGCAGTGTGAAATATTACCATGAACCAGGCCTACTGAAAAGGCTCCCTGTGTGAGTAAATCACAAGTCGTCGGTGGTAGGCATAAATTAAACATTATTTTGGTTCTTTCAAGCGGAGGACTAGGCATGACACCATATTTAATAGAGAGCCTTCATGACTTTTCAACCTCACGAAAAAGTAAGCCTGTTCATTTCTATCTTATCTTTATGACGCAATGACGGGTAACCCATCATTCCTCAAATCGGTTACTCTTACAGTACTGTAACAGTATAGATATGATAGTGTCAACTTGCCATGAGCGGGCAGTAAACACGAGATTCAGTGTTGTCCTCTTGTGTAGTAAACCTCTGAAAGAACACCCTTATTAGGTTTTCAAAAGTATGTTAGAATATTCTGTTTTGCTGACTATTTTCACTGAGTGGTAGATGAGGTATAAGAAACGGACGTAGGCCTATTCATTTTATTTTCAGACACAATTGAAAATATATATTAGATATATATTAGAGATTTACAGGTGAATTAACACCTGTCGCAGCATCAATCACATTTTCAACAAATACGTTTGCCTATCCTAGCCTACAGCTATTTTTTTTTTTTTTTTTTTTTTTTTTTTACTTTTTTCTTTTATACAGTAAGCTGGAAAAACTGTTTTAACGCTCAGAACCCTCTTAAACTGAAATCTTAAAACAGACTTTTTACGCACACAATTTCTACTCACATAAATAAACATACCACGTCTTTTAAGACGTGGTATTTCAAAATCTAAAAGTTTTAAAAAACTTTGAGATTTTGAAAAAATGACTATAATAATTTAATTAGTAAACTGGTCATTTAGCAAATAGAGAATCTTGTTTGCCTGAATATGATAAATTGCTTTTATAGTTGAATCCTAACACGATGGCGTGCATTTCAATACTTGGAATATGTATACTTTCTTGTTGGTAGAGTTTCCAATATTTACGGCTTGGACAAACTTCAAAAATCAAAGCACAACAAGGAGCAGTGCTGATGGAAATTAATAAAAAGAGTAAGGCTACGGTCACACTGCGTCTCAAGCCTGGCTTGACTCAACGCGGGTGAGATTTCAAGCCAGGCTCGAAATTCTGGGTCGGTCACACTAGTTGGATTGACCTCCAAATTATGAAAGCCGCAACAGCAGAGCCGGTAAAGAGAGAGTTTGGCCAACTCTGTTTCACGTGATTCGATATACGCGCGTGTGATTGGGTGGATCGCAATCAAAGATTTTACACCAGACGTGCCCGAACCACTCTTCTTCAACTGATCTTTTATCAGCTTGTATTAGGCTCGCAATGCCTTCACTTTTGTTTGAATTTGGGCCGTCGTTCTCTTCTCATGTCCGAGACTGTCTAATCTGTCAGCAAGCACGCCAAAAATTCCCGTTTTGTTGTTTGTTTTTTTTATTTTCTATCCGGTCTCTCAGCTCGGGTTGTCCCCACAAATCTACCAGGTCAGCAGTTTCCTGGTCGCTCCAAATCAATCGCATTATTATTAATTAAAATTTGAATTAACTTTTATGAAAAGTAATGATTGCGTCTTGATTGAACACACATGAAGAACTAGCCTGGGTTCCAGGCCCTAATTTTAGGTTACTCACTCTTTATTGCACTTAGTGCGCACCATACCTAATTTAATTGGCGCCCCATACTCGATTTCTTTTTTTTTCGAATTTTTTGCTTATTCCGTTTATCTCTAAATTAACTTTATCGTTGGTGGCGCTGTCAAGAATGAGAAAAAATAATAACAAATAAGAGACTTGTGGCAAGTCTAATGAAGAACTCGCGGGTTTTTAATTCAAGGACTTCTAAACGCAACGGCGTCATCGACTTTGATTGGTCGACAGCCGACGAGGAAATGTCAATCTCGGTCACGCCAGGGTCAATATGTGTGCTGAGCCGGGATCGAGATAGGTAGATTGAGATCGAGGTCACGCCAGGCGCGAGTCGGTGCAGATGCGGTCACATTACGAAAATCTCACCCGCGGTGAGTCAAGCCAGGCTTGAAACTCTAGTGTGACTGTAGCCTAAGTAATCAGGGTAGCAAAACTCCTTGACTGTGTTCAAGGAAGCGCGGTTAATGAAATGTTATTTTAGATTTCTAGTTTTTTTGGGTTTTTTTTTCAACGCATTTCTTCCATTTCTCTGCTACTGTTTGCCATCGATTTACATTTCCCATGTGCCTGGCCATTTAGATAACTGTCTTAAATTTAATTTATATTTAAACAATATAAGTTACTTTTATATTAATTCATAAGCTCTGTTATCAGAAAGTTTTAGGCCTACTCCGTTACTTTAAAGAAATTATTTAGCCCCAAAAGATGAATTCTGCTATTTTTTTTTTTAAGAAAAAGAAGTATTAGGTCTGCTGCTCTCCTGCGAGTCGAATGGTCGAGGCATGGGCGCGGCTACGTACACTTTGCCCATTGGTGCTGGTTCGAGCTGCTCCTTGGCCAGGGTTTGGTTGGTACTGAGAACCAAGTAATCGCTGGTAAGGACATAAAATTGAAGTCCGTGGGCTGTACAGATCTGGCTTGTGTGCGCTTCACAAAACAGATTGTATCTTTCGGAAGAATAGGGGTTGCCCCGCTTATTTTTTTTATATTTTTATTGCTGTTGTTTTTTTTTAAATTATTATTATTATTATTATTATTATTATTATTATTATTATTATAATTATTATTATTATTATTATTATTATTATTATTATTATTACTGTATTATTATTATTATTATTATTATTATTGTTATTAATTATTATTATAATTATTATTATTATAATTATAATTATTAATATTATTATTATCATCATCATCATCATTATTATTATTATTATTATCATTATTATTATAATAATAATAATAATAATAATAATAATAATAATTAGGCTCATTATTATTATTATCTTTTTTATTTCATAAGCATATTATAATATTGTTTATCATAATCATTGTTATTATCATTAGCAGAACTATTTGTGGAGTAGTAATAGTAGTATCATCATCATCATTAAACAATTAAGTTAATATAGAAATGAATGGAAAAAATCATATTAAGCCTGGTAGGTAGTTCCTAAAAGACAATAATATAAACTGTTTTACTCTTAACTTCCGTTGTCTAATTGTCCGCATGTAATCTGACTGCTGCTTTCGGCTTTGTTCAGAGCCCAGGCGGCTAGCAAGCATAGGCCTACCTCCATGTAAACACTATTATTTTAAATCCCATTGACATTGCGTTTTATGACGTATCATTTCGAGATGTGCTGGTACCTGAGTTGGATGATAACGACAAAAATAACGCAGACCGATGAGCGTACCGGTATATTTCTGGTTAGTTGAGAATTGTTCAGGATGTTTACAGCAACTAGCTGGTGCTGTTTGAAGGGAAGACGTAGTTCTTCGTCCGAGGGTACACCGTTATTATAGTAAGTACAGTAGGCCTACCTACATAAACCTTACAATCGTTATTCATTCCATAAGTGGATATTGAGCTTTGATTCAGTACTTCGTCAGCCATATCTATTTAAATTTCAATACTTTCCAGAGAACCAGTATAGAAGGTTTTAAATGCCAGTAATTATTTTACGAATACGTTATGCTTGTGGGTTAAATCCACACACTGGCCTATTTGCCAGACATTAATGCATATTATTGTTTTAGTTTTAACTATTCGAATTCTCAGTTTGAGTTGGTTATGAAATAGAGTGCACAAATCATTCATGATACCGTAGTTTAGCCGAAATAGTTGACGTGGGGATCGACGTGCCATGTCTAGTGAAGGTCCTCTGTTTCCCGACTCACCTTACCCTCACCATTAACATAGATAGCACATTATTATAATGCCATGTCATATTTTGATATAGCTTCAGCACATTTAAACCAGACGAATCGAACATTCTACAGCAACCCACCAGCGAATTAGAAAATGATAACAACATATGGAGTATCCCGGATGATTATACGCACATGGAGGCAGACGACGATAGAGTATTATACGAACTAATTCAGCAACATGCTAGCTTACCACCAGGATCGCCGGTAGGCCAACAGTATTTTTTTTTTTTTTTTTTTTTTGTCTTTTCTGGGGTTATCCCACTTTTATTTATTCTCATATTTCATCATTACATAATTGAAATGTTAGTAAGTTTGTTATACAATATCCGTTATAAGTATTTATTGCAATTATAAGTATTACTGTATTATAATAATAATAATAATAATAAAATAATAATAATAATAATAATAATAATTTTTATTATTATTATTATTTTTATTTTTATAATTACTTTATTTGTATTATTATCATTATTATCATTATTATTATTATTATTATTATTATTAGTATTATTTTTATTATTATTACTGCTAAAGAGAACTGCTAGACCAACTATTTACGCATTACTCTTACTTCCATAGCCTATTTTGACTATCTTATACACTTATGATATTTATTTCAAATCCTTTTTTTCTAGCAATGGAGTGATGTGGAGGAAAAAATAAATTCGATTCGTGCCATTAGACAGGAAACACAGAAAAGGTGGAAAGCAGTGCTCCAGTTATTAGGTGAGTCATTACGTCATAGCAAAAGGAACAGGATTTTCGACAGGGCGATGGCTTTTGACTGTCTTTAGTAGGCCTAAGGGTAAGAGAATGGGACAGTCTGTACATCAATAGGCTATAATCAATGTCAACTTAACCCTTAGTTGACGTAATGTGTGCCCTAATAATGCGTATGTCACAGACCCTATTTATTATGTACAATATGTATGACTATGAATGTACATCAGACTCAAATCTGTGAATCGTAACATCTTGTATAGCTTAAGGCATTTAAGCCCTTTATATATATA